GAGTTCAAGACCAGCCTGAGCAAGAGCAAGACCTCATCTCTACTAAAAATAGAGAAAAAAAAAAAAATTAGCCATCTCTACTGAAATTAGCCGGACTTGGTGGTGCGCGCCTGTAGTTCCAGCTACTCGGGAGGCTGAAGCAAGGAGGATGGCTTGAGCCCAGGAGTTTCAGGTTGCTGTGAGCTAGGCTGACGCCACGGCACTCTAGCCTGGACAAGAGCGAGACTCTGTCTCAAAAAAAAAAAAAAAAAGAATATATAGTTTCTGGAACCAGAATGCCTGGGTCCAAATCCTTCTCTACCAGTCATACATTGTATGTCTTGGGGCAAGTTGTTTTACCTCTCTGCCTCAATTTCCTCACCTGCAGAATGGGGATAATAAATATAGCTACTTCCAGGGAGAGTTAGTAAAAATTAAAAGAAGAAATATAAAAATCCACTTAAAATAAGGTTCATTGGCTGTCAAGTAGGAATAGCCCTGGTTCCATCAGTATTCAACAGGGTGGCCTTAGCTTCAGCAAGTCATATGCATTTCTGTGCCTCTTTGTCTATCTTTAATTGTAAGGGAATGGATTAGGATTCATTTATTCTGAAACTTTTTGAGGGTAAAGATACTTCTAAGAATCAACAGAAAATGACTCTTTCCCCCCAAAAATGCCCATGTGCACAAACATGCAAAAGTTGTACACAATTTTAATGGGTTCACAAACCCCTGAAGCCCATCATCACTATCCCTTAAGTAAGAATTCTCAGCAGGATAATCTCCAAATGCCACTCCAGGATTAACATTTAATGATCTAACATTCCAAAGACAACTTTTATAAAACCACCAGTATCGTTAAGGCACCTGAGGACGTGGAACTTATATTTTTACTTCAATCATTTTTCATCTGGCTATAGATTCCTTATTGGGAGACAATTTTATGGAAGGCATATCTTTTTCTTTTCTTTAATAATGTTTCTCTAGAACTCAAGAGAATGAAGGAGTCATTCTTATTCATTAGAACCTGGAGGATGGGCACAGCCCACAAAATGATTGGCATATGCTTTATATCATTTCAATCTTCAAAGTATTTTAAGCTGGCATTGTTTAAAAATACACGAAAATGGATTTGCTTGAAAGCACAGAAATCGGTTATATTATTAACTTATAAAGAGAGATTAGTTCCACCAAATAGGATCTCTAATCAACGGAAAGTCTTTCTTTACAGTTCAATTCAATAAATACATATTGAACACCTCCACGTGCAAGGCCTTACAATATTTGTGCAAGATAGAAAAGATGCAGACACTGTTTTTGCCATCAAGGGCTTGCTCGAGATATGTCATTAGGATCTGAATTATTGACACACTGTCCATTTTGTTTTTTTAAGTGTTGTATTTAAAAACACAACAATATGTAAATAAAGTGTGCAGCCAAACTATAATACAGTTTACCTGCCAACTAAACTGCAGGGAGCTCAAGGGAATTGATGCTAAAAAACTCAAGGTAAATGGGACATGAAGACTATGCATGCAGTACAACTACCTTTCTAAAGCATGAACTCAACCTGGTAAACTGATTAGTTTTTTAATACCTCCTGTGAGAGATGAATCACTACTTGTCCAGAAAATAGTACCCTCTTTATAGAGTTCACTAATTATTAGAAAATTACTACTAACTTTAAGCCCAAATCTGTGTCTTTGGAGGTTTAGCCCTTTGATTCTAGTTCTACAGGGAAACAAAATGCATTTAATGGCACAATCTCCACATCTTCTAGCTAACCTTAGCCTTTTTTCCTTTAACATTTTCTCATGTGCAACAGCTGTGAGTCCCTTCACCACTTCCTCTAAATTCACTCAAAATATTCTCTTTCCAAATAAGTCTGTTTCTTGTGAGTACCATGGGAAGGTACGGATGAACCATGTCCATCTTGAATCCCACACAACAAAGTCTCAATGTTATTTATAAGACTGTTAGAATTTCTAGTTCCGTTTTTAGAAGTATCAATCTTTGCAATGTTGAAATATAATCACTAAGCATCTTTATTTTTCCTCCTAATTCATGTCTAGCAATTAATTGCTTTCATTAAAAAAAAAAGCTTCCTTTGAAAGATTGTGAGAAAATGGCAGTGTATAGTTTTTAAAATCTCTTCAAATTCTCCCATAAAAATAGAGCAACTAAGACTAACAAAATGAAAGACCTATGAACAATATCTACATAACAACTGAATGACCAGGTATCTCCATGAACCCCTAAATAAGAGTGGACAAGGACAAAGAGCTATGTGGTCTCAGTATCTGTGTGAGAGAAGAGAAAGACAGAGTAGCAAGGCTTCTGATGGCCCCAAGAATGGAAGAAACCCAAAATTAATAACATGTATTCGCTGGAAATGTGATCGAAACTGGAGAGGGCTCTGCAAAATCTATTAATAATTCATTAGTTGAGTACAAGACGACAGTCTAACAGTGCTGGAGAAGCCTAGGACCTGTGAATACACAAAACACAAAAAACACATAAAAACTAAAGCTCCCTTCCAAGGTAAAGCCCTACAATGAGGAGAAAGTAATAGGAGTAAAAGCCACATTTAGCAGGACAGGGATAATAAAGGGAAAAGGAAAGCGAAGGTCCAGATAAAAGTAGAGACACAGATACAGTATGAGGCC